AGACTAAAGTATTCTTGCTGGCTGGCCAGTAGGCTCTTCCGATGGACTTAATAACCCTCTAGAAGTGAATAGACCTTAAACCAAAAACTAACATCTAATGTTATATTCTTCAGCTGTATTTTGAACGTGTTAGGCGCCCCGAGCTTATGTAGCTCAGCTTATCCCCAAGAGCTTTAAAAATTTTAATTTACAGCCTCTAGCAAGATGGAGATTAAGAAGGGTGACATGATTGGAGTACGTAAATGGATGAAAGGGCATAACAAGGAGGAATATAAATAAAGTTTTCAATATATTACCATAAATTAGAACACGAAACAATGGATGCAAACAGGAAAACGTCTTCGTTTAATATTGGTTTAGAAGTAGAGTTTAGGTGGAAATATACAGGTGCTGCCCGGTATGGGCCAATAGGCCTTCTGCAGTTTCATTCATTCTTATGAATGTGGATGTATTTATAAATTAATGAAATATGAGAAATGACACATTGGTTGACGAGAGAGAGAGAGAGAGAGAGAGAGAGAGAGAGAGAGAGAGAGAGAGAGAGAGAGAGAGAGAGAGAGAGAGAGAGAGAGAGAGAGAGAGAGTGTCGTATCATTACTCTTGTATAACACACAAAAGCGCCTTCCCGGCTCACTTGCACCATGAATTAATGAAGAAAAAACGTGCACATATGAATTCAGCATTTTAAATGAATAACGCTACACTTTTCATTAATTGTTTACGTTAAGCCCATATAATATAGAAGACAGTACAACGCGGTGACATCAGTAATTTTCACTCTGATCCATCCACCGCGCGTAGACTCATACACACACGCATACGTATGTACACCCCGAGGGAGTACTTTAAGGTACATATCTCCTGCAGTATGGTGAATAAAGCCAATGGCAATCATGTATAGACTAATGAGTAAATATATACTTTAGCTCAGCATAAACCGTAGGTCCTGACCTTGTTGCTGTTGATTCTTTCCTGTTCCTGTATATATATCTAGAGGGAGAAGATATATACCTTCTTAACAGACGGGATCTGTCTTGGCCTCTCTCGGCTCTCCTTCCTCTCTCTCTCTTTCGTTACTAGATGTTATTTTTCCACAATTTGCTTCTTGCCGTTTTCTTTTCTACTTTTAACTTTTTTATGTACACCCAAATTGTGTTCTATTTATAATGCCTTTTATTATTATTTTCACTTGTTTCTTTCCCCCTTACTTCTAATCATTCCTTTACTTTATCCGATTCTTTTTTTTCTCTTTACTCCTACATATTTTCCTTATTTTTTTTCTTTTCGTCGTATTGTTACGTTTCTTCTTATTATCTGCATCTTTATCTCTCTTTCATCTTCTTCCCTTATATCGTCTATCTCTCCCACTCTCTTTCCATCACCCGACGTGATAATGGTCCGAGACGGACCGAAACGTCGTTGTTTCATTATTTTCTGACGTGTGGGTTTCTCATCTTATCTTCAGCCCCGTTATTGTGACTCATCGTCTGCAGACTTCACTATTTGTGTATGTATATATATATATATATATATATATATATATATATATATATATATATATATATATATATATATATATATATATATATATATATATATATACACTACATGATTTAGTAATTAATGCAAACAATAAAACAAAAATTTCAATAAATGCAGACACCTTTTTTTACAGATATAATAAACAAAAACTTTCTCCTTTCATATTCTATAAATTTAAAATAAAAAAAAATCCAATTTATAGTCTTAGTTTAATATTATCGGATACTATTTTAATATGGCGAGGTTTAATAGTTGTTTCGAAACCTCGTGTACGAACGGTAGTTTTCTGAGACAAACCTGTTAATTAGAGAGTTTGAATCTCTCGCGTGAATATAATGCAAACAAGAATCCTAATTCGACTTGTGCCTGTATTTGTGACAACGTGTCCGCTCGTTAACTGCTTATTAGTTTGCTCAACAACGCATTTACTGTTAAGATTTACAAGGAATTTTTAATACGAGGACATCAAGAGTCTTAAATGCCGCGTTGATAAACAGTTTAGCTATTTATAAGGATTTATAAAGACTTCTTATGGAATTTGTAATACAAACCTGTTTTAAAACTGTTTGGAATTTGTTGTGTGTGTGTGTGTGTGTGTGTGTGTGTGTGTGTGTGTGTGTGTGTGTGTGTGTGTGTGTGTGTGTGTGTGTGTGTGTGTGTGTTTTAGAGTCATTTGTCACTAAACAATTTAAGGTCTCATGTTGAAGGCCACTTAATATAACACTTCTCGATAACAACACTCACTCTTTAGGCTAATAATTGACCTTTAAGATATCATCGATTTGGTATTGATAAACTTTAAAGTACACTTAATATAATTTATTGTAATGACGAAGGAGGTGGTAGCGATGGTGGTAGTGGTGGTGGTGTTGGTGGTTAGTGGTGGTGGTTTAGGTGGTAGTGGTGGTGGTTTAGGTGGTAGTGGTAGTGGTGGTGGTGTAGTGGTAGTGGTGGTGGTTTAGGTGGTAGTGGTAGTGGTGGTGGTGTAGTGGTAGTGGTGGTGGTGTAGGTGGTAGTGGTAGTGGTGGTGGTGTAGTGGTAGTGGTGGTGGTGTAGTGGTAGTGGTGGTGGTTTAGGTGGTAGTGGTAGTGGTGGTGGTGTAGTGGTAGTGGTGGTGGTTTAGGTGGTAGTGGTAGTGGTGGTGGTGTAGTGGTAGTGGTGGTGGTTTAGGTGGTAGTGGTGGTGGTTTAGGTGGTAGTGGTAGTGGTGGTGGTGTAGTGGTAGTGGTGGTGGTGTAGTGGTAGTGGTGGTGGTGTAGGTGGTAGTGGTAGTGGTGGTGGTGTAGGTGATAGTGGTAGTGGTTTAGGTGATAGTGGTAGTGGTGGTGGTTTAGGTGGTAGTGGTAGTGGTGGTGGTGTAGGTGGTAGTGGTGGTGGTTTAGGTGGTAGTGGTAGTGGTGGTGGTTTAGGTGGTAGTGGTAGTGGTGGTGGTTTAGGTGATAGTGGTAGTGGTGGTGGTGTAGGTGGTAGTGGTAGTGGTTTAGGTGATAGTGGTAGTGGTGGTGGTGTAGTGGTAGTGGTGGTGGTGTAGGTGATAGTGGTGGTGGTGTAGGTGGTAGTGGTAGTGGTTTAGGTGGTAGTGGTGGTGGTTTAGGTGGTAGTGGTGGTGGTGTAGGTGGTAGTGGTGGTGGTGTAGGTGGTAGTGGTGGTGGTGTAGGTGGTAGTGGTGGTGGTGTAGGTGGTAGTGGTGGTGGTGTAGGTGGTAGTGGTGGTGGTGGTGTAGGTGGTAGTGGTGGTGGTGTAGGTGGTAGTGGTGGTGGTGTAGGTGGTAGTTGTGGTGGTGTAGGTGGTAGTTGTGGTGGTGTAGGTGGTAGTGGTGGTGGTGTAGGTGGTAGTTGTGGTGGTGTAGGTGGTAGTTGTGGTGGTGTAGGTGGTAGTGGTGGTGGTGTAGGTGGTAGTTGTGGTGGTGTAGGTGGTAGTTGTGGTGGTGTAGGTGGTAGTGGTGGTGGTGTAGGTGGTAGTGGTGGTGGTGTAGGTGGTAGTGGTGGTGGTGTAGGTGGTGGTGTAGGTGGTGGTGTAGGTGGTGGTGTAGGTGGTAGTGGTGGTGGTGTAGGTGGTAGTGGTGGTGGTGTAGGTGGTAGTGGTGGTGGTGTAGGTGGTAGTGGTGGTGGTGTAGGTGGTAGTGGTGGTGGTGTAGGTGGTAGTTGTGGTGGTGTAGGTGGTAGTTGTGGTGGTGTAGGTGGTAGTGGTGGTGGTGTAGGTGGTAGTTGTGGTGGTGTAGGTGGTAGTTGTGGTGGTGTAGGTGGTAGTTGTGGTGGTGTAGGTGGTAGTGGTGGTGGTGTAGGTGGTAGTTGTGGTGGTGTAGGTGGTAGTTGTGGTGGTGTAGGTGGTAGTGGTGGTGGTGTAGGTGGTAGTGGTGGTGGTGTAGGTGGTAGTGGTGGTGGTGTAGGTGGTGGTGTAGGTGGTGGTGTAGGTGGTGGTGTAGGTGGTAGTGGTGGTGGTGTAGGTGGTAGTGGTGGTTGTGTAGGTGGTAGTGGTGGTGGTGGTGTAAGTGGTAGTGGTGGTGGTGTAGGTGGTAGTGGTGGTGGTGTAGGTGGTAGTGGTAGTGGTGGTGGTGTAGGTGGTAGTGGTAGTGGTGGTGGTGTAGGTGGTAGTGGTGGTGGTGTAGATGGTTGTGGTATTGGTACTTATGCATATCAGTACCTACCTCTCTAAGACCCGCCAGGTAACCCTTGAAGTACCTGTTGCGTTACATCATTGTTGAGTCTTGCCTTAGAGCCAGGGATGGAGGTGGCTTCCACAACATCTTGCATCACTGACTTCCCCTTCTTGAGCACCCGTACAAGGTGCAAATATTTCCTTACGTTTCTTCGACTCATCTGTGCTTCCAACTTCCACCATCGTCCTCTGCTTTCACTCTCTTAATTTAAAGAGGCTGCCCTTGTCCACCTTGTCTATTTTTCCTTAGTATTTTGTAAGTTGTGATCATATCCCCTCTGTTTTTATCATTAGAGTTTTGTGTGGGATAGTGATGAAGGTGGTAGAGGTACTGTTGAAATTGTATGTGTTGGGGATAGTGGTGGTGGTGGGGAGGCTGGTGGTGGGGAAGCCTGATAAAAGTAGGGATGGTGGTGGGGGGCTGGTAGTGGTTGTAGGGGGCTGGGGTAGGCTGGTGGTGGTGGTTGAGGGGGGCTGAGGGGGGCTGAGGGGGGCTGGTGGTGGTGGTTGTGGGCTGGTGGTGGTGGTTGTGGGCTGAGGGAGGCTGGTGGTGGTGGTTGAGGGGGGCTTGGGGAGGGTTGTGGTGGTGGTAGTGGGGGGCATGGGGGTCGGGGAGGGGGGTGGGGGTCGGGGGTAGTGAGAACAAGCCAGGAGGCAGCCCACAGTGCTGGCCGTAAACAATATTACCCCCGCCTGCTTCCTGTTTTAATTACACACACCACTTTTAAATTACAAAATATTTAGACGGACGCAATTTTATATACACACCGCAGCTAACCTGCTTTCTCCTTTGTTTTGCAGCGTCCTCGCCCAGCAGCTCCTGGCTCCAAGGTAAGCAGCGCCGCACACCTACACACCTCATTTACACACCTCCAAACCCCTTTTACACATCTCTACACTCTTTTACACACCTCCACACCCTTTTACACACCTCCACAACTCTTCTACACACCTCCACACCCCTTTTACACACCTCTACACCCCTTTTACACACTACCAAACCCCTTTTACACACCTCCGCACCCTTTTACACACCTCCACACCCCTTTTACACATCTCCACACCCCTTTTACACACCTCCACACCCCTTTTACACACCTACACACCCCTTTTACACACCTCCACACCCCTTTTACACACCTCCACACCCCATTTATACACCTCCACACCCCTTTTACACACCTCCACACCTCTTTTACACACCTCCACACCTCTTTTACACACCTCCACACCCTTTTACACACCTCCACATCCCTTTTACACACCTCCACACCCCTTTTACACACCTCCACACCCTTTAACACACCTCCACACCCCTTTACACCACTGCACAATCCTTCACAACACCCCCCTCGCAGTGCCGCACTGTACACCATAGATTAAATGCTCCTGAGCACCAACACTGCTAGTGACGAGGGCCTCCATGTGCACTGCAAGCTCTGTGTGCAGTGTTGCTGCAGTGCAACGGGTTCCTCCCCTCTCATGAGAGAGAGAGAGAGAGAGAGAGAGAGAGAGAGAGAGAGAGAGAGAGAGAGAGAGAGAGAGAGAGAGAGAGAGAGAGAGAGAGAGAGAGAGAGAGAGAGAGAGAGAGAGAGAGAGAGAGAGAGAGACAGAGAGACAGAGAGACAGAGAGAGACAGAGAGACAGAGAGAG